AGAACACCCAAGTGAATAGGTAGGCTATCCCATAGCTAGGCAAAGGAAAACAGGGAAAATGAGAGAAAAGAATCATGAAGAGAAGACAATCCTCCTTCCTCCTTGCTCGAATCTCCCATGAGAGGTAAGAATGTTCACTCCTCTAGTTTAGGGCAAGCCCAATCTCCTTCCTCATTTGAATGGAACTTTCTCTCTCTAGAATAGGAATAGGAAACCCTAATATCTCAATAGAAACCCTCCTTTATTCCGAAGACTAAAACCCTAGAAAAGCCCCCGTTTCTCCTTCAGCTCACTTCCCCTTTTATACCCAGATCAGGCTTAGATCATGGTCCCAGTTCATGGTCGTGAACTCAAGGCGAGGACCGTGATCTTGGGCCAAAACGCGTCGCTTAACTAACTTAGTTCACGGTCTTACGACCGTGAACTAGCTTGAGTCCAGTGAGACCGAAAACTTCTCTGGAACCTCTGCACTTCATGGTCTTGGGGAAATTGTCACGGTCGCTTTGGATTTTTCTTCACTTTTTCGTGCTTTTCAACCTCCAATCGACTTGAAACTCGTCCTCGACCTTCTCACACGTGCTAGGACTTGAAATATGACAAAAGAAGCACACCCTAGCGTAAAATAGGTTGAAAGATGATGAAAGGCAAAGTCAACTATCAAGAAATGAGGGGTAAAATGTGTGCATTTAGACTCGAATCACTCCCCCACACTTGGGGACATATCAAAGGGCTCAAAGTGGGTGAATCTTAAATGGCTATTGGACCTCAACACATGAATCGTTAGAAGCAATACCGACATCCACCACAAATGACATTCGAATGCATTAAGAGCGTTCAAACGAAAAGTTCTCACCCTATTCACAAATCAATACAAGTCTCGACAAAACTTCTGACCAACCACTATTAACCATGCATAGAGATCAATTCCAAGGAACAAACGAAGGGGCAACTAGGTCCTCACCGGGATAAAGTATGAACATGCAAAACATGAATGAATCACTCATTCTCGACCACTGGGGTCAGGACCATTTGGTGCAAAAGATGTGCACAATTATTAACACTCAGCCCTGTCATCTCTTCACCACGGCGGTAACCTCTAAGGGCTAGAGTTCACGAGAAGATTGTCATCACTAGCTTGTTCGGAGATCTTAGACACGGGTTCAAATGACCGGCAAGGGTCTTGGACATGGGGAAAAGGCCTTTTGGGTGATGAAAAACGCAACATGAGGTCATGCATCTTCACCCTAAAACCGAAGGTCCTATGGCTTCGACTAAGAACCTTCCCTACAATCAACGACCACTAGCATCGGCCAAAAACAGACTTCCCTTCTTCCAAACCATTACCAACCACGAACTTCATTCAAGCACACCTCCTTGGCTAATCTTGCTATCCACATTTCAAGCATAGTAGTGAAGGAGTTCAACAAACAATTTATGTGTTTCAGTGGTTTGAGTGCCAAGAAACCCTTTCTAGAGCATACACTTAGACTTTTGGGGCGACTCTCTACTTTTATTTACCCATTTTATTACCTCTTTTTCATTTCATTTTTTCTACTTTTCATTTTTTTCCTCTTTTCTCCTTTTTTTTTAGGGATACTAGAGAGTTAAACACTTGCCACCTTAACACTTAATGAAAAATGCTCTCTATTAAGAACTTCCTCCAGCACTACTTCTTCATTCCTAGCAAGAACCTTGCAAAATCCACCTATGTAGAACCTCAATGGAGCTCGCGAAAGCTCCAGGACACAAGGATGACTCAAAACGGTTAGACACGAAAAAGTATGAGGGTTTGTTCTATCAATCACCATTAAGCTCAACAAGCACGAAGCTCCTAACATGAGAACGACCCAAAGTCACACGGCTCAAGGGGGTTGACTAAGGATAAAATGTTTCGGGACAATCAACTTTTGGCCGTGGACTAATCCTATGCCTCCATCATACTCACTAGTGAGAACGGTGAATGTTACAACCATGGCGAGAGGGATCTATCACACATGAAAAAGACGATCAACACAAATCTCACATGGCTACCTATCCACCCAATCATCTATTCCAATTCACAAAATTCAATGCATGACAATTGTAATCAACGAGTAATCAAGTCAAGAAATATCCATTCATTTTCGCACACATGAGAACTAAACCTTTGTGACTATCCTAATGCAATTATCAATCATCATAATAGGGTGCACTCGATCACAAGTAAACAATCCAAGCTCAACGCCAATAAACACAAGATTCTCCCACAAACTGGCCACTTTGATCATGCAATGCTTGGAGCCCTCAAATTCATATAGGCTCCAAGCGCACAATCACACACACATGCATAATACATAGACTACCCCCCCCCCCCCCCCCCACACACACTTAAGCTCGATGTTGCCCTCAATGGTGTAAAATAATGGGTAGAACGATGTTACCGCATAGCTTGGTGAGTGAAGTTGGGACCAAATTGGGCCGGAGATGAAGAGGAAAGAGCTTCAAGGAGACCAAAACAAAGACAAACACACACACTATTTCAAAAAAAATATCAATTAACATAGAAATAAACACAAACCTATGTTGGGTTGCCTCCCAACAAGCGCTACTTTTACGTCATAAGCTGGACAGTTGCTCCTTTAGCTTCACTCCATCTGAGAACCTCCTTGAAGTTGAGGTTCTCGTCGGTGAGATGAAGTCTTAAGCCACAAGCATTGGACGAATCCATGATTGAGAGCTTGTGAACTTGATCGGCCACGAGACCTCTTCTTCTTTTTTCTCTTTGCCCCACACCATGTAGTCCATCATCGATTGACTTTCATCGCATCCGCCAAGAGGGATCGCCGATGGTTTGGCCTTGGGTTGGCAAAGAGCCATAAATGGGTCCTTCTCCAAAAGTGCATCGAGGTTGGGTGGAAAGCATTGGTAGCTCTTGTAACTCGTGAATGCTTCATCCACCACGACCTTGTCCTCATCTTGGACCTCATTTGCTTCTTCAACTTCATCTTCAACCTCCCTTCCTTCTTCTTCAATTTCCTCCCCTTGGGAACACTCAAGATCTTCCCTATCTTCAATTTTCACTTCCTATTCTACAACCTCTTCTCTCACCTCACATCCATGTCTTCAAGCACGGTTTGGAGGGAAAAATTCCATGCATTCTTTTGATACTCTTTCCTTGTGACTTGGTCTTCTAAGTTGGTCTCGGGAAGGGGAAAGTGTTGAAAGTCGTCAATGCAACATTCTTGGCCGTCATCTCCACGGGAGCTCTTCGAGGTGAATTCCTCTTGCTCCACACGATTATCATTGATTGCCCCTTCAACCTCCACTTATTCTTCCAATTGTGAGAGGCGATGGCGCACACAAGCTCGTACCACCTTCTCTTCTAGTGTCGAACCGGGAGGAGGGAGTGGTTAGAAATCCATGTCGGAGCTTGTTCTTCCAAAATTCTTGTTGCTTGTCTCTCCAACTTCTTTTCTTCCTTCCAATGGTAGGAGGCGATTGTGAGAAAATTGTGCAAATGCTTGCTTAAAAATCCCTCCTAGCCTCTCTGATTGTCGAAGGAGCTCCTCCGATTCCCGTAGAAAGGTTGAGTCGAAAGGGGCGGCAATTGGGAGGACCATGCTAGAGCACCCTTTATCGGTGCCCCGGGAAAGACGCTCCACTACGAGCTCTAATTCCCTCTTTACCTCCGGTTGTGGAGTGGCACATAGTGTCAAATGCCCAATGAAAAGCCCACTGGAATTCTCACACAACTCATAGATAATTGGAAAATAAAATTAAAACCTCATAATCATACATAAAAGGTTCAATGCTCTACTTTTAGGAACAACATGCCATTAATTAAAAAGAAATTGAGAGTTGTTGATTCAAGTCAACCATATACTAACAAATCAACTAAAAGGTGACCATCAAAAGTTGAGCGCAAATGACAAAATTAGGGTTACCTCCAATATACTAATAGACTCGATCAAAGTAATAAGACACAAAATTAGACACTCATTATCTACCAGTTCCAGTAGTTTGAATTGAGAATAGACCTTAATTTTAATAAATCAATCAATGATTACTCATTTTGAGATAGACATAGGTTGTGGTAGCTGCAACAACCGTAAACCTAAAGACCAATAACAACTACTATCCATTGTACAACTAACTTTTTATCCTCCTCTATCTCCAATCTCAAGAGGCATATGTTTCAACCCAAAATTCACTTTCTAATCCTTTTCCTGAAGTTCTGCAACTTTGATGGACCTTTGATAACGTCATATTTTCACATATTTGCACCCTTATATCTTAACCATTTTGGCTCGATTTTGTCGCCCCTTGGCCTATTTTAAGCTAGGTTGTGCCATTTTGTCATATTTCTAGTCCTAGCGGGTGTACGAAGGCGTAGCCGCAAGTTTCGGATCGTTTGGAGATCAATTGGCTATCCGGGAGATGAAATACAACCATACAAGGAGAAAAGCATGACCGTGCTTTTCATCATCTTGCCAGTGCTTTTATCAGCGAGAGCAAACCAAGAAGAGCGCTGAAGAAAACCAAAATATGGGCATCCTCGGAGAAAAGCATGAGTGTGCTTTGGAAAATACCGCCAGTGCTTTACCCAGACTTGCCCGTGTTTCTCCCGTTTTTTACTAAGTGAAACGTGCATTTTGGGAAAAGCACGGTAAAGGGAGTAAGCACGACCGTGCTTCTGCCCGTAATTTGCCAAGAATCGGGTTGAAAGAGGCAGATTCGAGCCAAAGGAAGGGTATTTGCAGTGCTGTGAAAATCAAGCCGAGCCGGCCGGCCGAGCGGCCAAAACCGCCAACCGGGCATAAAACCGGCTCGGATGAGCTATTTAGCCGGACTGGTTCTTTGGGGCGGCCGGCGAGCGGCCGAAGCGCTCGAACCGCTCGAACCGCTCCAGCCGGTCGTCCGGTTTTTTTAATTAGACCGGTTGATTTAATTAAAAAAAAATCGAAAATTAAATTTAAAGGGGTTCGGGGTCGAGCTGTTAACACATAGCAGAACCCTAATTTTCATTCTTCTATCTTCTTCGTGGAGAAGAGGAAGCGCCGCCGACTCCAAATCCGTCTCCATCGCCGCCGTTTCCCGTCGCCTGTGAGTCTGCTCCTGCGGCGATCCCACCTTCTCCCGCAGCTACGGCGTCTTCTCCACCTTCCCTCTTCGCTCCGGCGACTCTGTCGCTCCCCTCTCCTCTTCCACTGGCCTCCCGCCGAACTTGATCCGACGAATCCTTCGTCTAACTTCTCGGCCGGATCCAGCCTCGTCTTCTTGCCGGCTAGAGGTCGGTTGGTGCTCAACTTACAATTTCCCCTTTGGTTTTTCATCTCTCTTTTTGTATTCTTGTTGGAGATTGGGGACCTATATTAATATAGCTAGTGGTGGGGAAGGTTATGTAGCTGATCATCTATTTTTTGGGATAGTGTTCTGTTTGATGTAACATTTCATGGGAACTACCCTGGTGAGGGAGAGTCTAGTAGCTTGAATGGTCCTTCGAAAATCCAATGTTTGGACCATGTTGGTTGAATCAAAGAATGACCCATCTCTATAAACTTAACATGCCAAATAAGAGAAGATGGTGCTGCACCAGAGTGCAGTAATAATGCTGCTGCTGCAGAAGATGATGGAAGTGTGCATGTGTGAGGTGTAAGTAATGGCTAGCTAGTAGTGATGAAAATGAAAGAGAGGGCAGCAGGCTAGCTAGGGAATGAATGTCATGATGATGAAGTTGCTTAGTGATGGATGGTCTTTGGCTGGTTTTTATTTGGGCTTGAATTAATGGCTGATTTATGGATGGTGCGTGGCGTGACTGTACTCAATTAGTTGCTGATTTGATCTTTGTGGTGCGTGGGTTTCCTTCAATTAGTTGCTGATTTGATCTTTCTTTTGTAGATGAGTACTCCAAATCCAGATAGTGGTACACAATCAACAACACCAAGCTCTACTGCTTCAACTGGGCAAGCTGGTCGAGGAAAGAATGATCCTGCTTGGAATTACATCCAAGAAATCAAAGATGATAATGGAAAGGTGCTGACACTCAAATGCATGCTATGTGGAATTGAGAAAAGGGGAGGGGGGATTGATCGGATGAAAGAGCATCTTGCTCATTCTACAAAAGGGAATATTGTGAAATGCTCAAAAGTTCCCTATGATGTGCGTCTGAGATTTGCAAATATTCTTAAAGAATATGATGAAAAGAAGGAAGGGAAGTCGAAATCTAATGATCCTATCATTGGTGACAAAGATGATGATGTGGTTGAGTTAGCGAGATCACAGGCAACTACAAATGTTAGTGACTTGATGAAGAAAGCTAAGGGAGCTGACTTTTTTGCTTCAAGAACCACTCCTGGGTCGCAACCAAGTATCAAAAGTGCAATGGCTACTCTAAGGATGCAATTCATAGAGCTCATATGATTTGTGCAGAATTCTTTTATGAGAATTGCATACCGTTTAATGTAGCTCACTCAGATAGTTGGCAGAGGATGTTTGATGCTGCAATTGCAATTCATTAATCTTGTCTCTCTGTATGGCTTGTGTGTTTTTGTTTTCTTTTGGTGTAGGACCATGAACACCTACCTGGACATGCTTAGTAGGGAGCAGAAGAGGAATTTGCGGGAACTCAAAACCCGCGCCTTCTTTACGCATACTCACCTCGACCTCGAGGTTTTCGAGGAGCTAGGTGTCCGAGAGGCGATGGAGGCCGCTGTTCGCACCCACTCTTGGCGGCGCCTCCTTTGCCTCGCGGAGCTGACATAAAAGGAGCTCATATGGGAGTTCTACGCCACCTTCCTCCACTACACAGCACGAGCAGGCGTGCACGGGAACACCATCCAATTCACTTTAGGCGGGGTTTCTTACTCCCTCAGTTATGATGACTTCACCCGGGCTCTGAACCTTCTCCCTCCCTATCCCTGCCATCTTGCCATCGAGGAAGCTGACACCCCTGCCTTCCATGACCAAAGGTTCTTCGATAGGATCTGTCTTCCAGAGTTCATCGGCTCCGTGTTCCTCCTTGGCCAGACCATAATGACTCAGCTTCGATCTGAATGGCGCATCCTCAACCAGTTATTGGGCAAGTCTTATGCCCCCAGTCCAGGCTGTGCTAGTCATCTCCAGCTCCGTACTTTATCCTTCCTTCCCTCGATGAGCCATGAGGAGGACAACCTGCATTTTGCTTCTCTCATCGCCAGGTAGGTCACTAAGGCTGCTACCTACAGCCGTGCTCTGGCTTGTGGCTCGGTGATCACTGCTCTGGCCCGGTACTACGCATCGATATCGACAGCTTCACCATGGTTCAGTCTCCCAAACCATTCAGCCTCGACACTCTTTGGCGTCAGCTCTTACTTGAGCACGAGGGGAACGTGACGTGGATCAGGGGCTTCCTCGCCCTCCACCTTGTGACCCTTATGCCGCCGATGATACCAGACCCCACCGTGGGCCACGTCGCCAAGGTCGTCAGGCCGCTACCCATGCCAGCACATCTGCTGAACCTTCTGTTGCCCCCTTGATGACCATTGTTGAGCAGCTGTCGAATATCGCTCATCAGAATGAGCAGATCATTACTGAGCTGGAGCACATCGTCAGTCTGATGGATCGCGAATGGGAAAGGGGTCGTCGCCTCATGTCCGGCCAGCACTACATCATGCACTACCTGGGCCTCGATCCGAACTCGGTCCAATACCCCTTCGTGCAGTCTCCAGGGCACAAGGATAACTACCCACCTCCCACTGGCGATGGTGGCGATTTCCCCTAGTGGGGACGACGTTGGGTTCTGTTTTTCACTTTCTTTCCAGACTTAGACTACATGTCGGTTTTTATTTTTATTTGACTTGTAGACTTGGAACTAAGGTTTCTTTCACCCAGTGTGTGTGTTTTATGACTCTAGCTCTGTGCTCTTTGGACTGGTCCCCTTCCAGTCCCCTGCTCTTGACTGGTCTGCCTTTCAGTCACCGTTCCTGCTCATCATTTCCTGGTAACATCGTTTCCGTTCCTCTGCTCCATTGAGGGAAATGTCGAATTTAAGTGTGGGGGTGCTTTGTATTTATGGAATGTATGTATGTGTGCTTGGAGCCTAGCCCACTGTCCAAATCTCTAGATTTGAGGGCTCCAAGTACTGATGTTTGCATGATCGTATTGGCACTGTGGTTTATGTGGTGAACCGAATGGCTGTAAAGTTGATGCATAACAACTTGATTGTGACTAGGAAAACCTCTAATGATGACTGAAATATGCGGTAGAGTTATGTAGGGGTTTAGTTTTTCAACTATTTTCTTTACCAACTATGGCTTGGATTGATCACTTGTTCTTGACATTCGTTTGTGCATCTAGTTCACGAAATCAGAATGAGAGATAGAGCATATAGGTAGCCTTGTGAGATTTGAGCCTGCTCGTTTCTTTAATGTGTGATAGATCCCTCTTCCATGATGTGTAGCATTCACGTTGTCACTAATTAGGATGGTGGAGGCATAGGATTAGCTCACGACCAAATCGACTGTCCTGGTGTCATACCCCTAGTCAGCCCCTTTGAGCCGTGTAATTTCCTTTCTTTTGGTCTACAATAAAAAATCAACCTTTTGCATCTCGTAGATGTCCTACAAAGTCATTTTTGCATGTTCTTTGCTATTTCTGCTAGAAATAATATGAGGGTTGGAGGTAGTTCTTCAAAGTTGGGCATGTGTTTGAAAAATGTGCAGAGGTGGTGGTTCTCTCAAGAAATGGAAAAAAAAGAAAAAAAAAGAATGAAGACAAAAGAGAGCCGCTACTAAAAATCTGCATCATACTCATTAAGTAGTGTTTCTTAGCAGTCTAGCTTAGAAATAATAGCATTATTGTGACCTCCTTCACTCTTGTGCTCTAAAGAACCTGATCAATGCAGAAAGGCAGAAAGAAAGTAAAGGGTTTGAATAATGGTAACTGTGTTGGGTTTGGAACTGTGGAACCTTGTGTTATGAATACTTCCACCACCTAAAAGGCCTTTTCCCATGTCCATGACCCTAGCCAGTCATCTGAACCCGTGTCTAAGACCTCCTTACTAGTTAGTGGTGACACCCAATATGTGAACTCTAGCATTTAGAGGTTGCCGTCATGGTGAAGAGACGTTAGGAATTGAGAGAATAAGCATGCACAATTTTTGAATCAAATTTTCTTAACCCCACTAGTCGAGAGTAAGCGATTCATTTCCTTATATTCTTTACGTTCTTTACCCCGGTGAGGACCTAGATTGCTCGGTCTTTATTCTGATGTCTTGAATTTTATGCATGAGGTGACTGTCTTGAATAAGTGGTTGAGTTAAGTCTAGGTTGGTTGGTGAACATAAGGGAGACTCCTCCTTTAACCAATTTTGCTGCACTCGAATGTCATCTATGGTGGTTGTCCAGGTTGCTATTGAAGTTGTTCATGTGTTGATGTCTAAAAGCCATTATGATTCACGTGTTTTATGCCTATATGATATGTCCCCAAGGTTGCATGATTAAACTGTTTTGAGCTTACCTTGTATTTGACTTGGTTTGCTTGGGAACAAGCAAACGCTTAAGTGTGGGGGAATTCGATAACGTCATATTTGCACATGTTTGCCGTTTAGTCTGTCTAAGTGGGCTTGGTCAGTTTAAGAGATTCCAAGCTAATTTAGGATCCTCCGCAGTTTAATCAACAATAAATCAACCTAAGGAAATTACAACTTGGACCTAACTAAGGAGCTAGGGGGACTCATTCCCGAGTGACTCTTCTCTTGCTTCAGGAAACCAGACAATTTAATGCTTTCTTTCTATTTAGTATGAATTCACCTTCACTCACTTAGTCCCGCTAGATAATAGAAGTTCACGGAGTAGGCACTAGATCTAGACCTAGGGTTGATAAATTAAACTTCTCAATATTCTGCATTTCCAGGTTGTGATTATACTTGGTCGTAGTTTGGTGTTGTGTTTTAGCGTGTCAACCTTCTCTCTGTGGCCCTCAATTTCTCTTCCAATTAGGATTCTTGTCAACTCGATCTTCAAATCCTCAATCCATTTATTGTATTTGGCCAACTCATATTTCCTTAGTGGCAGTGGCAGTTGTAATAAGATTGGTAAAACCAACCCTTATCTTCATTTCCATCAATATGCTCATATCCTCCTTGACTACCGTCACCTGCTCCAGTTCACTTCCATGCCCTCTCCATTTTCATTAATATCATCATCATCTCTCACTTCTCTTTCTTCAACTAATCCAATTTTGCTTCCGTATCTTTCAATACCCTCCCCAATTCGATCACTACCCGTGCCAACTCCCTCTTCTCTGCCTTCACCTGATGTAGTTGAACTTTACTTGCTACCAAATCCAAACATAA